AAGCACAGCCCAGCCCTGTTCCACCTGGGCGCTGCGCCCGCCGTGTGCCAGCTGCTCTGCACAAGTCTAAAGCTCCTGATGGACGGTGGAGAGGACCCTGGCTTGGCTTGCCAGACCACCACATCACTGTTCCTGAGGTTCCTCTGTGACCAGTTCACGCCAGCGCCCAGCGGCCATCCCCAGCACCACCTGCAACGCCCTCTGAAGGCCCTGTGTCTCCTGGCTGCCCAGGGCCTGTGGACCCGGGTGTCCCTGTTCGACACAGAAGACCTGGAGCCACTTGAGGTGGAAGAGGCCGACCTCCGTCCCTTCCTGGACAAGCATGTCCTCCAGAGGGACAGGGACCACGAGGACTGCTTCTCCTTCATCCACCTCAGCATGCAGCAGTTCCTGGCGGCCGCCTTCTACATCCTGCGGTTCCCCGGGGACAGCGAGTGGCAGGGCTCCATGTTGGACATCAGGGGTGTGCGGGAGCTGTTCTCCACAGAGGCCAGAGCAAGGAATCCCCAGCTGGCCCAGGCCGGCCGCTTCCTGTGGGGCCTCCTGAACGGGGCCAGGGCGAGGGAGCTGGAGGCCACTTTCGGCTGCCAAGTGTCCTTGGAGGCCGGGCAGGAGCTGCTGCAGCGCACGTCGGAGGAGGAGGAGCCCGTGCTGTGGGCAGTGGGCCTTCTGGAGGTCTTCCACTGCCTCTACGAGTCTCAGGACCCAGAGCTGGTGAGCAAAGCCACGGCCGCTCTGAAGGACKCATCCCTGCACCTGACCACCAGCCAGGACCTCCTGAGCTGCTCCTTCTGCCTCCGGCACTGCCAGGACCTGCAGAGGCTCTCGCTGCGGGTGGCCAAGGGGGTGCTCCCGGAGGAGGAGGTAGCGCTGGAGCTGGATGCTCTGGACGGAAGGTGAGTGCCCTGCCACGGTCCACTGGGCCTCCAGGGAAGGAGGCCAGAGCCTCCTGTTTAACCCTTGAGGGGGGAAGCATTGACACTGTGGCTCTTCTCTGGAGGTGAGCCATCATGGCCAAGGGGGCGACCTGCGTGGGTGGGCTGCAGGAGGTGAGGGAGGATCACCATGCTCTGGCCCCACCATGGGTAGGGCTAGTTAATCCCACGTTCAGGAGAGGCCACCGCATCAGGACCAGGGAGGCCTTCTTCACCTGCTTGCCACTGTCTGGCCAGGGATGGCCTCGGCCAGCCACAACTGGAGCACCTCCATGGGTTCATGTGAGGGCAGCCGAGCTCCGTTGGCTCCCAGCTACAGCTTGGTTCTCCTTTTGGGCTCACACGTGTTTGTGGATCTGTGGGCCCAGCGTGGTGCTTGCCAGGTGCTCTCCTCAGACCCCGCCCACAGCCTTCCCCAGACCCCGCCCACAGCCTTCCCCAGACCCCGCCCACAGCCTTCCCCAGACCCCCGCCCACAGCCTTCCACAGCCTTCCCCAGACCCCACCCACAGCCTTCCCCAGACCCCACCCACAGCCTTCCACAGCCTTCCCCAGACCCCGCCCACAGCCTTCCCCAGACCCCGCCCACAGCCTTCCCCAGACCCCGCCCACAGCCTTCCACAGCCTTCCCCAGACCCCACCCACAGCCTTCCACAGCCTTCCCCAGACCCTACCCACAGCCTTCCACAGCCTTCCCCAGACCCCGCCCACAGCCTTCCCCAGACCCCCCCCACAGCCTTCCCCAGACCCCTCCCCAGACCGGCTCACAGCCTTCCCCAAGACCCCGCCCACAGCCTTCCCCAGACCCCGCCCACAGCCTTCCCCAGACCCCAGACCCCGCCCACAGCCTTCCCCAGACCGCAGAGATGGCTGTGCTGCCTCAGGGGGCCCTATGCCTCACGTAGGAGAGGACGTGCCATCCTGACGTCTGCCTCTCATCCTTAACTGCCCTCTGGCTCCATTGGTTCAGTTCAAATGGTAGGATGACTCCTCTCTCGTAACTGAACGACCTGTTGTGTGCATGGACCTCTGTGGCTTTACCCGCCCCCCACAGTGGGCACCAGGGCTCTCGTGAGCAGTGCTGCGGTATCCCCATGCCGTTCCCTATGGTCCTCCGGGTTCGGAGGGTCTGGCTTCAGAACACCACGCCTGGCTGGGCATAGGATTCGAGTCTCCTGGGTCATAATGTCCTGCGGTCACACTACGAAGTCACTGCCTGCTGGTGTGGGGCGTTACCTCTTGCGCCCACCCTGGTTCTGTCACCTTGCCACCTCCTCACTTCTAGGTTGGCACTTAAAATCGGTCTCTGGAATGGTTAGACACAGGGTTGGAACCAACAGGTGCTTCCCTGGGGTCAGAGGTGGTGCCCCTCCAGAATGTTCCCCTTGACCTGGAGTCAGCTCCGCTCCYACCCAAGCAGAGACTGAAGGAGGGGGAAGCTGAGCCTGGCCGTGAGGGACCTGGAGCTCCGACCCCGAGTGGCGTGGGCAGGTCTCCCCTCCCAAGTCTCCCCTCCCTGGTTGGCACCTGCGTGGGCCGTGCGCACTGAGCCTGCAGCTGTCCACGTACCCCGCGGGCAGGAGCCGTTCCCTTGCACTGTTCTCTGGCTCYTCTGCTCATCCCATCCGACAGGCCTGCTCTTGGCTCTGAGAGCCTTTGCGTCTAGACCACTGTCTGAGTTCCGAGTGTTCGGTCCCCCGCCAAACTCCGTGGGCTCTGATGCACTGTGGCTTCAGGGCGCTCTCTCCTTGGAAGTCAAAATCCTATTTTTGTGATTCCAAAGATACCGTGCATATGTGGGGAAATTAAAGCAGGACAGGGATCGCAGACACCATGTCCCTCCCCGTTCTGCCGTCCGCGGCAGCACAGGAGGAGAGGAACCGCCTTTGAAAACCGAGCACTTGGAGATGAATCTAGTGGCAGGTTGATTTCTCAAGGTTTTTTTKTGTGTGTGTGTGTTTTTATAGTTGTAGAGGGACAGAATGCCTTTGTTTTTGTCTTTAAGTGTGCTGAGGATCAAACCCAGTCCTCGCACATGCTTGGAAAACACTGTACCACAGAGTACAGTCTGCTCTGAGCTTTGGCTCCAGCCCGTTTTACAGTTTTAGTTGAACGAATGAATTAGCTTGAGAAATGGCCAAATCGCCCTCTGTGGTTGTCAATCGGGTGTTCAAATGTCCCGTCTTGGACAAGGGGGTCGCCATCAGTCCTTCACCAGCAGGACCCTAGGCTTCCCCTCCTGTAGTGAATGGTGACGTGGGACATGCAAGCTCTCCTCCYGTGGTGCCTCTAGGGTGGGTGGTCTCACGGGGTGCTCAACGACTAATAAATCGTGTGTCAAAGGGGAGCACCCAGAGTGACCCTGAACACCTTGACTGTGAGGGACAGATGTCGGTTTTTCTCCTTCGTGACGTTGGGTGGGTGACTTTTCCCTTCTCTCGGGTAGGTTCCAGAGTCATCAGAACCTACATCTTCCCTGGAGCGAGCTCTGCTCTGTGTTCAGCTCCAACAAGAGCCTGGTCTTCCTGGACATCAGCCACAGCTTCCTGAGCAGCCAGTTTGTGAGGACGCTCTGTGACCAGCTGGCCTCTGCAAACTGCTGTCTCCAGAAAGTGGTGTAAGTCCTTTGTCCCAGGCCCACATCCCAAGGGGCACAGCCAAGCTTCTTACTGTTGGATGTTGGAGGAATATTCAGATTCCTGTCCCAGACTCCAACCAGGCGCTGAGATGCTCCTGTCCTTGGGGAGTACAGTGGGAGGATCCCATAAAGCCAGGTTAATGCCGTGTGCAGGAGGAAGAGAGCGTGCAGACCCCTGGTGCTGTTGGTCTACCGTGAGTCCCGGTGGCCACACATACAGCACATCTCGGCCTCTGCCGACGCCCAGGGCTGGGCTCCTTTGTTGGAAGGAGGGGCTGCCTGTTGTGCTGTAGGACACTGAGCAGCATCCCTGACCTCCACCTGCTACATTCCAGCAGCACCCTCTCCCCAGACGGTGACAACCAAAACTGTTCCCAGATGTCACCCAGTGTCCTGGGATGCTGAATCTCACCAGGCTGGTACCCGCCGATGGGGGGCGGGGGGAAGCACAGGCCCGAGAGCTGAGTGCAAGTTATGCAGGTGGGAAACGGTACCTACACGGCATAAGTACTGTCATTCAGAGTGACATGTGCCCTCCAGAGCATCCCTGGGCCAAGTCGCGGCCGAGGGACTGAAGTCTTGCAAGTCTACTCCTGGTAGGCGGTGTGGGGCAGGGGACCGCACAGCCTGCTCACCAGGTGGCCAGTCGGAAGCTCTCAGCTTAGCTAGGAAGTCCTCAAGTGGCATCATGTTTCTTTCTTGATGGAGGAAAATAGGAGCCCTTGCCCACTAAGGACTGCGCTGGCCACATGCAAGAGAATTCCAGAGTCGAATCCTGTAGTAACCTTCTGTGTCTGACCCTCCTGCAACGGCCTAAGGTGGCTAAAGGGACTAGAACTCAGCATCTGAGATGCTGGTCAAGGGGGAGAGTCTGTTATGCGAGATGGCTGCAAGCCAGACACCTCCTGACGGCAATGTGAATTTAGTTCATACTGTAGCATGCCCTCAAAATCTGCTGAGAGGGTATCTCTAAGTCTTCTCAYCCCCAGACACAGAAAATGGTCAGTGTGAGATGATGGGTATGTTACTTAGCTTGATGGGGCAATACTTTACATAACGTTCCTATATCAAAACATGGTTGTGCACCTTAAACATTATATAATTTTTGTCAGTGATGCCCCAAAGATGGGATTGGGGATTGAACCCAGGGCCTTGCACGCGCCAGGCAAGTGCCCTACCACTGGTCACACCCCAGCCCTTCTTATTTGGAGATGGTCTCACTAAGTTGCCAGGGCTAGCCTCAAACTTGCCATCTTCCTGCCTCAGCCTTCCGAGTCGCTGGGACTAAGGAGTATTTTTTAATGTGAAAGAAAGGTTCCAAAATGTCGCCTTTTAATGTGAAAGAAAGGTTCCAAAATGTCGCCATCCTGCAACTGTGTTTCTGTTCATGTGCAGAAGTATAGAACTCAAAGCCTCATCTTTGTTTTCTGTTCCTTAGCCTCAAAAACATTTTCCCGGATGGTGCTTATCAGAACCTCTGCCTGGCTTTCGGAGGACACAAGACCCTGACACATCTGATCCTCGAAGGCAGTGAGCTGGACGGTGTGCTTTCCTCGTTGCGTGAGGTTTTGAGTCACTGGAGATGCAAGCTGCAATGTCTCAGGTATCACTCTCTCACCAAGACCCCTCCTGGCACAGAGCTATCGCAACCTGGGCTGCAAATCTGCATACATTGGAAGAAAATCTTCCTTATTTTAACTGGAAATGGCAGCACCTGGGGTGCATGGGCCAGAATAGCACATGGGCTGGAGTTCGTTCTCCTCCGGCCTTGAGCACTGAGTAACCTGAACTACCACACAGGGAAGCCCCCAGTCCTAAGGGCTACCCAGAATCTGGAGAGCATCCTATCAGGCCACTGGGGGTTCACGATCCTCCTGGGTCACGAGGCCAAAGGCCTCCCCTATCCAGGCAAGGACCCCAGGAGCCCAGKCTGCCCTCTCCTCAGCACTCTGGAGATCTGCCTTGGGAAGTTCTCTGCAGGGTTGTGCTGGTGTTGGCCACCCCCACCTGGAGTGGCAGCAGGGACAGTCTACAGTGGGCATTAGCCTCTGCTGAGGGAGGGGTTGCTGGGCTCTTCAACAAAACAAAATGGGGCAGCCAGCCCRTCCCAGGGCAGAGGGCAGGGGAAACCAGGTCCCAGCACATGCCTTGATGGCCATCGCCATTGGCCATTGCAAAGGACCCTCCTTGCCCCCTCCTGGGAGGGTCAGCAAGGACAGAGTCGTGTGACTAGAGACCTGGGCCACTGGCTGATTTTTGGCCAGGAAGTCGATACCCAAATTGGAGGCCCATAGGAGGCCGCGCGAGCCCAGCCTCCTGTCCCTCCGGAGGCACCTGACCTTGCGCCTGGCTCCCCCGCTCGGTGGGCTCCTCTGCTGTGACTTGGGCTCTGAGAGAAGGTCTTCCCTGGTTCCTCTTGAGGTTTCCAGTCACTTCAGCCACGTGGCAGGCACCCCCCTTGGGCCCCAGTCGGGGTACCGACCTGTGACCCTCGGCGTGAGGGCACTCTTGGCTCCGATTCGCAGGTGCCAGAGGGAGACGGCGTCCCCACACCTACTCCACAGAAGAGCCCGGCCCAGGCCTGGTGCCAAGRGCCCCTCCTGCCCACAGTCGGGAGCAGAACAAGGCTCCGTGCTTCGGGATGTCCACCCAGGGTTTCTGAATGTCCTTCTAGACCTGTGGTCCAGCCAGAGGCTCCTGTGTCCCTGGGCACTGCTGAAGTGCGGATTCCTGGGTCCCGTCCAGGTGGTCTGAGTCGCATCCTGTGGACGTGGCACAGGAATCGACACCTCCCCTGGGGGACGCTGGACTCTGCATCGGAGCYGGGCGGGGTGATGCGGACCTGCATTTCTTGCTGGCTCCCAGAAGGTCTGGGCTGCTGGCCCTGGGCAACCGTGACAGCCAGGGCGCTGGACCGCACAGGCCTTGGGGCACTGGCACAGCCGAGTGCCAGACCGGAGGCCATCCACCGAGCTTGGATTCTCGGGCATGACRAGCTCCGTCTCCCCCACAGGCTGGGGCCCTGCTCTGCCCCTGTACCGGAGTGGGCGGACCTCTTCCTGACCYTACAGTTCAATCACTCCCTGACGTGCCTGGACCTCTCCGACAGCGAGCTCCTGGACGAGGGGGCCAAGCTGCTGTGCGCAGGGCTGAGGTACCCCACGTGCCCCGTGCAGAGGCTGTCGTAAGTCTCCCCACCTCCTGGGTGTCCTGTGGGGTCTGGGAACGCAGGGGAAGAACGGTGGCCCTGGGCCTGCAGGCAGCCCTGTGGACCCACCCAGTGACCCTACGCCTGCTCCTGTCTCTGGTCCAGGCCAACAGTTCCAGCATCTCACTCCTGTCCTTTCCGTCCCCACGGGGTCACCAGCAGGGTGGGAGGAGGACGAGGAACTGAGACGGGCTTTAGGGACCCCCTGTTTGGAGACGGCTGAGAAGACTGGGTGTGGGTGCTCTGCTCACTGGCCTTTCCTGTGACTCCTGCAGGTTGGAGAACTGTCAACTCACGGAAGCCTGTTGCAAGGAAGTGTCTGTCACTCTGGTCGTCAGCCAGAGGCTGACACACCTGTGCCTGGCCAAGAACGACCTCGGGGACAATGGGGTGGAGACCCTGTGTGAGGGCTTGCGCTACCCCGAGTGCCGGCTGCAGACGCTGGTGTAAGTCCTGGGGCTGCCGTGTGCGTGAGGCCCGAGGGGCTGCTGGCAGCAGACAACTCCTCGGAACTCCCAAGTATGACACTAGCAGTTATAACTGGCGAGACCAGGGAGATGGTGACAAAGAAAACTGGTGCCAGCCAGGGACATAGGTCAGGGTGGAACGCACCCTTAGCCTGCGTGAGGCCCTGCGTGTGGTCCCAGCACAGAAAGAAGTGTCGCTGTTACACGGGGCCCGGYGGGGTGTGGCGGGTGCCCAGGTCCGGCTTTTAGAACCGAGTCGCAGAGGCCACGTGCCCTGGGCACAGTGGAAGTCATCTGACGCCAAGGACAAAGCCTTAGAGAGAAAGGGGCTGCCAGGTCCGGGCACACGCCTGTCGCCCCAGCAACCCTGAGGCRGAGACACAGGATTGCAAGCCCCAAGCCAGCCTGGGCAACTTGGGGGACCCCCGCAGCTTAGCAAGACCCTGCCTCAAAATAACCGTTCCCTAAAACGCTGGAGAGGTCGCTCGGTGGCCCAGCGCCTGGGCTCCGTCCCCAGCACCAACAGTTGGGGCTGCGGTCCCTGGTCCTGTTCAGAGGCTGCCGAGCGCTGCCGGCTCTGCGGTCCCAGAAGTCACCTCCGAAAGAAAAACCGCTTGCTCGGCTCTGGGGACGTGACTTGGGAGGAGCACAGGCTTACACACGCAGGGCCTGTTGGGCACCCACCCCACAGTCACACACTCACACACTCCACACACAGTCACACTCGGTCACCCTCTCATACCCACACACGTGTCTCTCTCTCTCACACAGTCTCTCACATACACACACAGTCTCACCCACACACCCACACACAGTCTTGCACACCCACAGTCTCTCTCACACCCACACACAGTGTCTCTCACCCACACACAGTCTCTCTCTCACAGTCTCTCTCTCACAGTCTCTCTCACAGTCTCACACACACACAGTCTCTCACAGTCTCACACACGCACACGCACACCCCATGTCGGCTTCTCCTGGAGTTCCCACCTAGGACACGCTCTAGGTGGAATCTGAAATCTACTCACCATCGCAGCCCTTTGTCTGCGGGACAGAGGTGACGTGCCAGGACCCTGTCCACACAGTAAGCCTCCGAACACTAAAACGAGCGCCATGGCGAGAAGCCGCCGCCCCACCTGCAGGCTAGTCTGGTGGTGGTCAAAGTCAGCGCCATCCGGTGACGCCGTGGCTGCCCTCCCATCTCCTCGTCCCAGCTGGCCAGGGGGGGGAGGGGGGAGAGGGTCCTGGCTCAGGTGGCCCCGGGGACTGAGGGTCCCTTCTCCTCGCTGCCTCCAGGCTGTGGTGCTGCAGCATCACCAGCGAGGGCTGTGGCCACCTCTCCACGGTCCTCCGCCAAGGGTCCAGCCTGACGCAACTGGACCTGGGGCTGAACCACGTTGGGGTCCCAGGCCTGAAGCTGCTCTGTGAGGCCCTGAAGGCACCGTGGTGCCGCCTGCAGCATCTGTGGTGAGTTCCGCCTTACTTACTGCACCCTCCCGGCCAGGGAGGGAGGTGTCACCAGAGCAGGCGGCTCCGTGGGGATCCAGAGGTTCCAATAAGTCAGCGGAGTATCTTAAAGTCAACAGGACAGACGGGGGAASGGGCTCTAGTCTGCCAAAGGTCATCGGGAGGAACTTGGAAGCCGCGGTGCTAGACATTGAGAAGCAGCCCCTGCTGCCCAGTCCCGGTGTCCAGAGAAGTGGGAACCGGCGGCACCTGGGAACACACCCCAGAGGCCAGCRAGTGGGTGCCCCTGGGGGCCACCTTACAGGTCCCACCAGGGCTGGGTCCCCTCGGCCAGATACACAGGGGTCTCTGCAGGYGCCGTCCACACAAATGCAGGGCCGCTGCCTCCTGTGCCAACACCTGCTGTTCCCCTCTCCATCCTCCCCTGCTGGGGACACCTGCRTGGTCTCCTACCTTGGCCATCGTTGGCTGTAAGGAAAACAGACGAGATGCAGAGGCAGACTGGCCAAGCGGCCAGCTTGATTTCCACCAGGCCACTGGCATCTGGAGTGCCTTTGTTCATTGTGTCATTGAGCAGTTCAGAGCTGGCAGCGGGACACAGCTGACTCCCTGGTTGGTACTAAGTTGCAGTGTGCAAGGTCAGGAGCTGGGTGCGGCTCTCAAGGCCACTGTTTAAAGTGACTGTCAGTGGACAGGTGCAGGTGCAGCAGAGCTGGGGGAAACCCTGGCTGTCTGACGAGAGCCCCTTTATTCCTGGGAGCCGAGTGTCAGGTCAAGGTCGAGGCTGAGAAGACTGGCACAGCTGCCTCAGCAGGGCACTGCCCCAGCAGCCAGGCACCTGTGTCTGCACAGACGCTCCCAGCCACCAAGCAGGCCAGCCGTGGCGCTCTCAGACCCCATCCCAAACAGCCCTCGGTCGGCACGGCTGCGGTGACGGGCATCTAAAAAGCCAGACTCACACCAGCAGGAGCAGAGTGGCCACTGAGGGAATGAGATGGAGTCTTAAACCAGGACTTTTGGGCACTCGGAGCCCACAGGATCTCTGAACAGATGATCTTACTCGGAACAGAATCCTCCAGTTGCTCTTTCCTCCTCTTCCAAGTCCCATCCACCCTGGAACCCCGTTGCCCTCTTCCTGGTGTCTGGCCACACACCTCCCCAAACTGGTGACACCTGGGGGTCACGTGCCCTCAAACAGGTCAGGTGTCTTTGCTTTCCGCCCAAGCAAAAAGAATACCCAAGGTGTAGCTCCTGCCCCCTCTCGGGGACCGAGGGGCACCCGTCTCAACCCAGGCAAGACCCGAGGATGATGGCGCCGGGGCTCTGCCGAGCTGCCCTGTACCTAATCCTCCCTGCCGTCTTGTCTGGTGCCCTGACCTTTGGTTTTGAGATGATCATACGCAACCTCGGGGCTCAGAGGTTCAGCACAGCGCTTCTCTGCCCGGGAGCTGCTCCTCCAGGTCTCCACCCACTCAGGTCGCCTTCAACCAGCCACTCGGCCACTACRGTCCTCACAGCCCCCCCCCCCCGGGTACTATGTGGCACACTCCTCTGTCCCTGGTTAGGGGACAGGCCCTGATGCTCAATGCCCAGGGTCGGATCCCCAAGGCCCACCGGAGGCCGGAGGACCACCGTCCAGGGTCTCCCTTGCTCCTGTGTCCCCGCAGGCTGTGGGGCTGCTCCCTGACTCCCTTCAGCTGCCAGGACCTCTCCTCCGCCCTCATCTGCAACCGCAGCCTGGTCACCCTGGACCTGGGCCAGAACTCCCTGGGCTTCCACGGAGTCAAGATGCTGTGTGACGCCTTGAGACTTCAGAACTGCCCCCTGCAGACGCTCAGGTACGGCCCCCGGCCCTGTCCCCCAGGCGGGGTTTGAGGTGAGACGGAAGCCTTAGGATTCCCTCACAGGGGCCCTTGCCAATATGCAGCTACCTGCCTGGGCGGCTGGTCACCAGAGAGCCCTCCCGTTGACCCGTCCACTGTATTGGCCAGTCAGAGGGGAGGCCAAGAAGCCAGGATTATGTGAGGGCGGGCTGCAGAGGCCAGCCATCACCTCCTTGGGTCAGCCCTGGACGGAAGCTATCCAGAGCGAGGCTGCCCCCAAGGTGCCCTCTCCGTCGGCGGCAGCCAGCTTGCCCGCTGCGGGGAGCTGCCTTTGGCTCCAGTCCTAGAGCCACGTGAGCACCAGGCCCTGCCCTTCCAGAGTGTGGATTTGGGCCCTTAGATTCTATTGGCCACCCAACCTTCCAGTGACTCCCAGGTGGACTGCTGACACTTTCTGTGCTGGACACCAAAGATCCTGATGGCCACCCTGGTCTTCAGGGGCGGGTCTTGGACCTGCTTCTCGCTCGCCCCACGGGTGTGCAAGCCCTGGGTCTGGCTGGGGAGTTGGCTTTGTCCTCTAGGCAGACCGTGACTGAGCTCCCGCAATCACCCTTGACCTAGAGGGTCACCTCAGTCCGCCCCGGTGCTAGCTGGGCCTGCGGTAGCCAAGGTGCTTCAGGCTGCTGATGAGACACTGACCCAGCCAGCTCGGGGCCCCGCGGCCAGTCGTGAGCCCCAGCCCGAATCAACCATGTGCTGGCAAGGTGGGGCCTCCCTGCCAACAAGCACCCTGGCAGCGGACGCCTTCAGGGACCCCTGTCCCTCTGTCCCCACGTCTACCCTCACATGGTTGAGTGGGATTACCTCAGGGTGAATCCTAGAAATGAGACAAAACCAGTGCGGTGGCCSAGGGGCCGGCCCAGACAAGAGGTGGTCACCTCGGTTGGTCCAAGGTGTACGTCCCTAGGGACAGGTGCTCCTGGGTCCACCAGGCAGGACAGGGGTCACCGAGGTGGCATCAGTTGTCACATGTGCCATTGGTGCCGACTCATGCCCGCCGTGCCAGCACCATCCAGGCACACACTGCTGCTGTCCACCCTGTGCCACTGCCTAATGACCTCTCCTGTGCAGCACAGACCCTGGGAGAGGGCGGCCAGGGCCTGTGGGCCCCTCAAGCACCAGGCCCTCGGGCACTTGGGAATCAGGTGACCAGCGTTTTCTCCCGCTTCGTGCCCCAGGTTGAAAATAGACGAATCCGACACGGACATCCAGAATCTCCTGAGAGAGATCAAAGAAAGCAACCCGCAGCTGGCCGTCGACGGCAGCCGCCGCGACCCCCAGAGACACAGGCCCTCGGCTCATGACTTCCTTTTCTGAACCTCCCTGCGCCCCGGATTCCCCCTCCCAGAGTCACGGCCCTCAGGCTGCTGGGTGCCTCCCGCGAGCCTCCTGGGTGATGGGCAGCGGCTGGGCTGGGCGGCCCTGCAGCCCTGGCCTGCTCTGGTGTACACGAGCATGCGCAGTCGCTCACCCCGAGCTGCGGAGCATTGGTGTCACGGTGTACGGTGTAGGGTGTAGAGGAATAAAGGTGAATGCATTCACAGCAGCTTTGTGTTGGTGACTCGCCAGAGCAGGGAAGAGCGGCTCTGTCTGGGGAGAACCGGGACCAGGCGAGGAGGCAGGGCCCTGTGCGCGGGCTCCTGTGGCCCTGCTCCGCTCTGCTCGGATCCGCTGTCTGCTGGGGCTGGGGCTCAGGACTGACCGCGGGGCCCTGAGCTGGCCAGGTCAGCTTCCGACCCCACAGTATTACAGGCACAGATTCCTCTGCACAATGCTGGGAAGTCCAGTCCACACTAAAGATGTCTGGGGGCTGGGAATGTAGTTGGTGGTAAAGTGAGCGCTTCCGTGTGCAAGGCTCCCCCGAAAGTCGCCCAGTGAAAACAGAAGGAGAGTTCCACCCTTGATAAGTGGCCAGTGGGTAAACAAATGCTGTGGCAAGAACGTCAGGTGACCTTGGAAGGACCTGAGGTGGTACTCAGCAGGGGAGCCCCACACAGTGACTTAGCGGGTGGGCAGGACTCGGTACCCTGACTACCCGTCTTGGCAGCCACGTTAGCTGCTCTACCAAGAACCCAGGGAACTTGCCCTCCTGCCTTTGGGGACCAGCCTGTGGTAGCCACGTGCCGTGGGCCCAGCACCTGGGGTCCACACGGGGCCTGTGTGGGGTTCCTCTATTTCTGGCTTATGTCACTCAGCAGTGTCCTCTAGGTTCAGCCGTGCCTCTGCAAATGACGGCTTTCCTGGGATTTTTGTTTGGGGYTGGAGGTCCAGTGTRGGGCCTCACACACCCGAGGCAAGAGCCCCACTGCTGACCCACGTCCCGGCCCCTCCTGGTTTTCTGAAAGCCAGACAGCACAGCACTGAGCCATGACAGTGCCCACACTGTCCCCGCTGCTGCGCTCTGGCTGGTGGCTGCCCTGCGGCTCCTCCTGTCTGGACGCCCCCTACTTCCAGGTCCAGGCCTGGCTGGCCCTAGTTCCTCAGGCTTCCTGCAAAGTGATGCTTCCTCCTAAAACTGCTGCCCCCACGGACTTGCCCAGCGGAACCCGTGGGACGTCAAAAACACCTGCGTGCCCCTGACAGGCGGGTGAGGCGGCACAGCCTCGCAGTCCCCTCCTCTTCCCGCGGCTGCAGGAGCTGGGCACTGTCATGGAAGACTCAGGCCACCTACCACTCGCCTGGGAAAGCACCGGATTCAGGACGTGACGTGGGGCTCCTGAGGGGCTGTCATTTCCACACGCTGCGCACCGGGCCGTCTGCCCGGGCCGTCCGTACAACCTGTCCAGTGAGCGACCCTTGATGCTCACCTCCTCAACCTCCCTCGAGTGCAAATATCATCCCCTGGACGCCCCACCATTCAAGACGGAGGCTCCCCGGACCACCTGACTCGGCCCACAAGCACTCTCCTGTCCCCGGGCTGCGGGAACCTGGGCTGTCACGGAACTGCCCGGTGGTGCTCCCTATCTGTGAATGGAAGGTGGGATTTCAAGCTTCTACTCCCATGGTGCACGTGGTTGACCTCACAGGTGAGAGAGAGGGCACCCGAGACATAAGGGACTCATGGGGACATAAGGGACTCATGGGTCCATGAGAGCCGAGGTGTCCAGAAACCAGGGAAGGAAGAGCGGCCTGTGTCCAGGCCCCAGGGAGGAGGCCACTGTGGAGGACAGGCCAGGTGGCCAGAGGGCCGAGTCGTCCACATCCTGGTCACCTGCCTGGGTGGCTCTGGTTAGGATTCCTCTCCCCCAGCATCTGGTCCAGTCTTGAGTTTGGGTATAAAACGCGGAGAGGCCCCGTGAACCTCCAGTCCCTCTCTGGCAGCGCCTGAGGCCAAACCCGACCAGGAGCGTAGCTCACCTCGGGGCAGTTACCCCCAGGGCCGGGTCCCCTGGCTCGAGGTTCCTTCTGTGGAAGCTGGAGCTCCGGGCCTTCAGGGGTGGCGTCCATGGAGGCTGGGGTGGACGTGGGCTGATGTGACACTGGGGCAGGTAGGGTGTGGCAGGAGGTGGGTCACTGGGGGAGTCCTGGGGTGTGTGCTGGGTCCCTGGTGAGTGGGGCGTCTCCTGTTGCCCCGCCCTGAGTGGCTTTCCCCCTCTACACCCTCTGCCCAGAGCCACGGAGTCGGTCACCCGTGGACTGAGGCCTCTGGAACAGCCCCACATAAACTCCCCCCGCCCATTGTCCTTGTCCTGTGTTTTGGTCACAGTGGCAAAGCCAACTGAGACAAGGTAAAGTTCACATAACGTCAACCTTCCCCTAGATCTGTGTTTCACAGACATAAAAACACAGGAGTCGTGGGCGTCGACCACGTGACAGTCCAGCACGTGAGGGAACGGCTGTCCCTCACCGTTTCTTCGTGGTGACGACATCCAGATCCCTCCTCCCGGCTTTCTGAGACATACAGCACACTGTTGTCGACAGTCACCTGCACGTCTTAAAGGCATGATGGTGGCATCTAGTACGTCACAGTGGGTGCCGCCATCCCTCGTCTGTTCCAGTTTTCAACTCTGTAAAGGACCACCCCACTCTGCAGCAGTCCCCTCCCCGCTGCCCCCACCTCGAGGCACCCGTCAGGGCCCCTGTAGACCTTCAGGCTCTCTCCCTGCCCCCAGACATGGGTGCCTTCCACAGCTCCATTACCAGCAGTCAACCTCGTTCTGAAATATCAAATGGAAAATTCCAGAAACAGACCGCGGACAAGGTCACTTAGCAGGTACCCTGGAATCAGGTCCTCTGTCACGGCGTCTCGGTGCTCAGGTCACCCCGAGTTTCCCTAGTGGCCCCAAGGCCCCAGAGTGTGTTCAGAGAAACACGATGTGTGGGCTCCGGCTCTGTCGGTGGTTTCAGTGTGGACACACAGGGTAAGGATGACCCCTCCCGGGGCTGGGGCCACTGTGACTTTTATTGTGTGCTAGTGACAACAAGAAGCGCATCCGGCTGCCTGAAAGAACCAGGGCCTTTCTAAAAACAGATTTACCAGACCACAGCTGAAGATGGGTGGGGTGGGCCAACCTGGGGACAGGAGGCAGGGAAGGCCACGCACAGGGCCAGACAGTGAGCCGTGAGTGGGGGACGGATGTGGAGCCCGTATTAGGAGGGCGAGGGAAGGCCATCGGTGCCTGTCCAGGGACTTAGTGACCACAGGTGAAGGTGTCTAGGACACGCAGCCTCCACTGGACCCTCAGCCAAGGAGACAGAGCCCCATAGACCCTGGCTCTGCGGCTCCCTGAAGAGGCCCAGCCTCCTCCGCCCACAGCCTGGCCTCCCACTGTCTCCGAGCTCCGCAGGCCTTCACACCCTCTGGCTCTTGGACTCGGCCACACCAGGGTTCTGGCGGAGGTGCTGCGTCTGTGGGAGGGGCGGGAGGGGCCTCTGCACGGGCTTGACCCTGGGCCGCTGGGCTCTCCTCTGACTGTGCCAGTCCTCGGCCACCACACCCAGCAGCAGAATGAGGACCACGGCCCCGAGGCAGATCCGGACCAGGTTCCCCTGGGTGTGGTCCTGGCGGGCGAGACCTGGGGGAGCGGTGGGGTCGGAGCAGGGGACGAGAGCCCATCCCCAGGACACCCCAGGCCCTATCTGGGCTTCTCACCGTGCCACCTGATCTGGGTCCCTGTGATTCTCCACCCGCTGGGATGCCCGACTCCTCCCTAGGGCGCCACAACCAGTGTCAGCCACGTAGAACAGACTGTCTCACCTCCCACACGTTCAGACAGGCGACGGTCACCTCCCCCAGGGCAGAAGAGAGCTACACGGAATTTTTCTCTCTCCGGCCCCTTGGAGAACCAGCCTTCCCTCCTGATCTATCGCCCACTCTGAGCTCCTGCGCCTCCCTAACGTCCTTCCCACCAGCCCCGGGGGCAGCGCTCGGCTCCCACGCAGGGCCAGGGTCTGCTTCGGGCAAGAACAGGGGGAAGGGGCGGTCTGAGAGGACGGCTTACCAACTGGAGCGCTGGACCCCTCTGGAGAGACGGGGACGTTCCTGGACAGGGCTAGGAATCAAAGCAGGCCAAGTGTGGGCAAATGGGACCTGCCCGCCCCGGGGGAGGACGAGAACTATGGAGGCAGCCGCCCAGATGTGACCCCATGCCCAGCACCATGAGGCGTGGGAGCCTGGCTGTGCCGGCATCGCTCACACCACGTTCTGAGAGTTGGATCAACACAGACTGAGCTTCCCTAATGCGACATCCTGAATCCCGAGATTCGCACAGTTTGAAATTTTTGAGCACTGATGACACCCCAAGTGGAAAATCCCACGTGACAGGTCATGGTCAAAACACAGGGGCACAGAAAGTGCTGTGTGCTGTGTGGAACTGCCTTCAGGCCCCGTGTGTAGGGGCACGTGACCCAGCATGAGTCCCATGTGGACTGGGGTCCCGTGGGCAAGACACCTCCCTATCCGTGGGCAGATGTTCCAAAACCCAGAGCCCCTCTGGGCCCAAGCACATCAGACGAGGGTCACTCGGCTGTCACAGACACATGGGAAGCACCCACGTGCCAACTCTGCTTAGTCCTCAGTACTCCCTGAGACCCGCCGGGTGCTTGGCCTCGTGCTGGGTGACAGGGACCTCCAGGTTAATCAGACATGGTCGGCGTGGGGCTCCCGGATTTTAGAGGAGCCCAAGAAGTGAGGTGACAGTTTTGACATGCTATGAGCATTTCTGCAGCAGGTACCTCTCGGGACACTGAGCTCACGGGACAATGCAGCCTGGAGAGTCGAGAACGGCTTCCTGAGGAACCAGTGACAGGAAGTAGGAGGAAGGCTGGGCAGGCGGCCGGGCGAGGCGGGAGAGGGCGGCACAGCCAGACCGCGAAGGCCAAGAGTGGCTGGACGTCTATGCTCATGGGACCATGGGGACCCCTGACCTGTCCTCAGAGGACCCGTGACACTGCTGCAGTTGGGGTGCGTCTGCAGAGGACTGGAGTAGGACCTGTGACGTGCAGGGACAGTGGGTGGAGTGTGGGAACAAGTTCCCGTAGAGTCGGGCGATGGTCTGGCGTCCCTCCCCACAACGCTCCTCTGCTGGCCTCGGAGCCAGCCCCGGGGCCTCCATGCTCAGCCCAGGGCTGTCCTGGTTAGGGCGGGGCTCGCGACCTGAGTTAAGGCCAGAGGACTGGATGGCGGAAGAGAGCCCAGAGCCCGTCTCACACGCCTCCCTGCTGGGCTCCAAGTGTCTGGCTACTCACCGGTGGTCGTGGTCGAGGCTCTGTTCCTGGGTGAGGTGATCAGTCTCCTGGAGGCTTCGGGGGACGCTAAGCAGAGGGATCATAATGACATGGATAATGTCAGTTCTTCCCAAGGGCCCCTCTCTGCAGACCCCTCAAGGGGCAGCGGCTGCCCAGAACCCCTATCTCTGAGGAGAGACAAAGTCAAAAGGCCCCAAGTCTCAGCATCCACCTCCCTGGAGAGGACCGGATTCCGTTCTGCTGTGGTGCCATTGTGCGTGATGCTACTGTAGCCGTCACACACGGACCTGTGTGGACCTAGGTTTTCAATTGTCTTGGTACAAACCCTGGAGTGAAATCGCTGGGTCATGGGACAACACCATGTCTAACTCCTCCAAGGACCGCAGGCTGCTTTCCAAACACAGCACCATTTTACACCCCACCAGTAACAGAGGTGCTTCCAGCTTCTCCACATCCTCACCAACATCCGTCTGTTTGTTTGCTTGTTTGTTTTTCTAACTATCCTAGTGGGCATGGTGAATTCCGTAGGGACATGAAAATGTCAACATAATGACTGACCAGGGGTCTTCACCAGCCCCCGGATGAGCGGGTAGCAGCCTGAGCTCAGGAGGCCATTTGCTGACCCAGGGACCTCCCCTCGTTTTCACCTGGCACGCACCACCTCACCTGGCTGGGGTTTATATTTTGCACACAGCTCACTCACGCTCTCGCTCTCGATCTCTCGCTCTCTCTCTCTCCCTCTCCCTCTCCCTCTCCCTCTCTCTCCCCTCTCTCCCTCCCTCTCCCTCTCTCCCTCTCTCTTTCTCACTTCCCCCCTCTCCCCCTCCCTCCCC